GTCTTCGAGTTATTTATACTCGCCCAGTCGGACTTTTGCCGACAATCACGAGTTTCAGTCTTCGAGTTATTTATACTCGCCCAGTCGGACTTTTGCCGACAATCACGAGTTTCAGTCTTCGAGTTATTTATACTCGCCCAGTCGGACTTTTGCCGACAATCACGAGTTTCAGTCTTCGAGTTATTTATACTCGCCCAGTCAGACTTTTGCCGACAATCACGAGTTTCAGTCTTCGAGTTATTTATACTCGCCCAGTCGGACTTTTGCCGACAATCACGAGTTTCAGTCTTCGAGTTATTTATACTCGCCCAAAAGGTGGACTAGGGTTTTATCCTAGGTCAAGCCTCAAAGCTAGAGCATTCAAGAGTGTAATCTGCCTTCTTAGCCTTAGGGTTTCAGGTTTTATACTTTCTTGTTTATGGGCTCTTTGGGCCTCGAGAATGTAGGGATTCCGTTAACCGTTTTGATGGAAAATATTGGATGATCGTGGGGAATAGGTCGGCCCCTTAGGATAGAACAAGGTTCATCCTTCAAATTTATATACGAATCGGCTATTGGCCGATCATAAGGTGGAGTTTCTTTTTGAATTAGATATTTCCCATATTATCGTAAGACGGCAATTTGCCGATCACATGGGTAAGTTGCATTTAAACAGAAAAGTTTTCCAATTATTGTGAGCCGGCATAGGGCCGATCACGTGGTTAAGTTCGCCCCAACTTGGAAATTCTTTGAATGTAATTTTTAGTCGGCATTGGGCCGATCTCATGGTTAAATGACATTTAACCTTGGGATGTTCCCCAATTGTTTTCAGTCGGTTTAGTGCCGATCACTTGGTTAATATTCAATTATTTTCCAGATCATTCCGAATTGACATTGCTACGTAAGTCCAATAGGTCTTATACTTGTTCTACAAAATCGGAATTTGACCGATTATCTCCACAAACTCACTTTAGAATTTTCTTTTATATACTTGTTCTCCAATTCGGAATTTGACTGATTAGTTCCACAATCTCTTTGAAAACTTTTCTACTGGTTCTGCAAATCAGAATTTGACCGATTATCTCATTGAAAATTTTTTACTTGTTCTACAAATCGGAATTTGACTGATTACCTCCACAATTTCACTTTAGAATTTTCTTTATATACTTGTTTTAGAATTCTTTTATATACTTGTTCTCCAAATCGGAATATTACCGGTTAGTTACACAATCTCTGAAAATTTTTCTACTGGTTCTGCAAATCGGAATTTGACCGATTATCTCATGGAAAATTCTTATACTTGCTCTACAAAATCGGAATTTGACCGATTATCTCGACAAACTCACTTTAGAGTTGGGGTTGCTCGGCGTCGATACGCGAACGTGCAGTGCTCGGCCTACGTACATCCTTAGCCGAGAAGGGTACTCGGGAGGGAAACCTGTTGGGCTCGAGCACATGTTTGAGTGGTCGGCCGAGGGTTGCTCGGCGTCGATACGCGAGGGTGTAGTGCTCAGCCTAGGTACATCCTTAGCCGAGAAGGGTACTCAGGAGGGAAACCTGTTGGGCTCGAGCACACGTTTGAGTGGTCGGTCGAGGGTTGCTCGTCTTCGGTGAGCGTTATCTGAGGTCAGACCTGCATATTTATAACCTAAGCATAGGCACACAGTTGAATAGAAAATGAAATAACATTCAAAGACGTCTTTGCATTAATTGAGTGCCTCGTTAAAAACCTTGCCGACCCAAAACCCTCCTTAGGGAAAAAAGAGTCGGTCAAGGAAAAGAGTGCACTATTACATCAACTATAATACATCTTTAGGTGTGAGGAGTTCCAAGTTCTCGGAATCGGTACTCCAACTTGTATGCTCCGTTGTTCAGGTTGTGCCGGATTCGGAAAGGACCGTCCCAGTTTGGGGAAAGTTTTCCCTGTCTCGGATCTTTCCTCGCCTCGCCTGTGGTTCTCCAAACGAGGTCTCCTTCTCGGAATTCTCTAGGTTTTACCTTGCTGTCAAATCTTCTCTTGTATCGTCGTTTGGTGGCCTCGGCAACTACTAGTGCTCGGTCTCGAATTTCCCCTACCATGTCTAGGCTTATATTAAAGTGCTAAAATACGAGTAAAATACACAACATCATGCCTCTGCGTAGATTTGAGTCTCATCATCTGGCCAGTATAGACACTCTAGTAGGTATACTCTGCATGAGCAACTGAGATTTAGTTGTGTCCGTTATTGAGCGTAAACCTTCAAATACTCTTCTAGAGTTCTCTTGTTGATTTACAATTGTACTAGTAGATACATCTTTAAGGATATTTTTGATTGCCTTGAGATGAGGGTTAGAACGCTCTTTAAATTGGCCCTTCTTAGTATTCACCGGGATATCATTATTGTGTCCTGCACCACCTCGGGAGGATTGTTTATTTTTCCCAGCGAGTGGGTTGCGCACACGGGTTTCAGTTTGCATGGGTAACGGGTTCTGAGAAGGCTGGGAGATCTGCATGGTCTACATGGCGCTAGGCACGTTGGATTCGTTAGGAAAGCAAGAGGCTTCTTCATGCTGACGTGGCTTTGTAGTTTGTTTTAGAGAATGAATAATACTTTCATCCACTACATCAGAAGTTACATGATATTTCACGTGCACTGAATTAGACGTTTCAATAATATTCATGCTCTTAAATTTAGGCACGATATATGAAGGGGGAAAACCTTCCTTAATCTTTGGAGAGGATCAAAACTTGCCATATTTCTTTCCCCATTTAACTAGCATCCAAGGCCCATAAAGATTATCGGAATCTTGTTCAGATTGCGTAGTAACCGCAAGATTTTCTTGTTCAGATACGGGCTTGTGCGTAACCCTAGGTTGGGTTTCATTCAATGTTGCATGGCTCTCACCCGCATCTACCTCCATGTTTCCTGAATCCTTCTTGGAAGCCTCATTGGTCGTAGTCTTCATTGGACCTACCACAACGTCACACTGATCTTGTCTATGCCCATACTTGCCACAATTGAAATAGACCGAGTGAAGGCCTTCATATTCTAATTTTATAATGTGCCCCAAAACATTTATCATTGAAACTAGCCTCCTATTGAGATTAACTTTAATGCAGATTCTAGTAAATTTACTCCGAGAATGAATAGAGGTTAATTTATCAATCTTTAGCATTGTCCCCAACTTGTTTCCCACCCTCCAAAGAAAGCGATCATTATAAAGTTCAATGGGCAGTCCAGGGATCCTTATCCAAGCTGCAACCTTTTTGGTTTTATTTGCTGTTAGAGTGAAGAAAGGTCTCCACTGCTGAACCAAAATGTAATGATCAGCAATCATCCAAGGACCATCATACAGGGCATGTCTATAATCCTCCTCCTCCGTGAATTGAACAAGAAAAAAGTCTTTGGGCATGTCAATCATGCGCACTGAGCCTAACTTCCCCCAGTCTCTATGCACCTTATTCTCTAAAGCCTTGAAAGCGATGCGTTTGCGCAAGACCTAGATGACGAGTGCTTTCTTCCAAGGAGAGCACCATTCCTCAAATTCTTCTTGACTAACATTGATGGTAGGACACGGATCCAGATCTGCGTTATCTGTCATAGCTTGGTCATTCTCCTCCACCATCAATTCTCCAGAGACATCCATCTCCTTCAACATGGTGCTGAAATCAGTAACTCTTTTATTCCCATCTGACTCCATCAAACTTTCAGCATAAGAACGAATCTGTTTCTCATCACTATTTGGTGGTTGGCCTTGGATGTTCTCCAAGGACGAATCCAAATTCCCACCCGCTTTTTTTTTTACCTTCTTCGTGCACCGTTGATTCACGTTTTCTTCCTCCCCTTCTGAAGCCATGTTTTTTGACTATAAAATTAAGTCGATCAAGATAATTTAATACTTCATTCTTATAAAACAAAATTGACGTAATATATACATTTCAAAAACATATTAAAATATGAACACTTTGATTACCTTTAAGTTGTTGTTCAATTTTAACAAAATTTGATACAAACATATAAAGTGATATAAATTTTTAATCTAACAGTTGAATTTACAAAATTTACATTTAATATAAAGTTATTGAGCAGTATAACACGTAGTAAAAATTACACCAATGTTATTATAACCTTCCTTTTATATATATATATATATATATATATGAATTGTTCTATCAAAATTAGAATGACGCGGTGGAAGTTGAGGTAGTATGTACACTCTAGTGTTATTATTGTAATTTAATTTGATGAATAAAAAACAATACCCTTCTCAAAAGTATTTGTATTGAACCCACTTTAAACTCTCTCGAAATTTATAAGGGGATGTGTTGGATTGAAATTTCATGAGATTTTTTAGTGTAAAAAGTCTTGTGAATTTTATAATAAAAAAATTAGGAATTTAATATTTGTATTGAACTCACTTTATACTCACTCGAATTCTATAAGGAAGTGTATTGAATTGGGATTTCATAAAAAAGATTAGGGGTGAGCAACGGGTGAGTTTGGTCGGGTTCGGGTGAAAAATGTCCAACCCATTGTAAACCGACTTTGAAAAAATGTGACCCATATCCGACCGACTGAGCTTTCGATTTGAGGCGGTTCGGGTTGAAACGGATTCGGATTTAAGCGGGTGGGTATAATCGGGTTTGAATTTTTTTGTAAACCAATTTATCTTAAGGAAGATGAAGCTTAAAACGATAAAAAATATTTTTAAAATAGTGTATAAAAATAGAATGAAGGTGACAATAGATGGTGTAAGTAGATTCGTAGTTGAAACATTTACAAACTAAAGAAGCAAAAATAAAAGATAACAAAATTCATAGTTGTTACATGGAAAAGAAATATAAAGTTAGATTACAAAATCATAAGAAATCACAGTCACACAAAATGTACTCAAAATGGAGATAAGAAGATGGAAAAGAAAGACAAAGAAAGAAGCAAAAAGATAACTCTAAAAATGGACTAGTGTGTTGAGAAGTTGAATGAGGAAGGAGAAGACAAAATAAATATCTAAGTTATGAGAAAAAGGAAAAAAATAAGTTACAAATTGATGGCTATATTATACTTGAAATAAAGACTTTTAAGTTTGGACCATTGTTATTTAGTTATACAAAAGTAATAAAAATTTAAACTTATCTCATTTTCGGTTGGGTTCGATTTTTGGCGGGTTTAAAAATTCAAAACCGAACCCGCCCAATATAACCCGTATAAAATCAAAATTTTAACCCGATTTACCCATAAAACCCGCCCGAACCCACCCAAAAACAATATTTTTTATCGGGTTTTTCGGGTTCGGTTCGGGTGTCGGTTTAATGCTCTCCCCTAAAAAAGATTTAGCATAAAAAAGCCTTGTGAATTTTATTAAAAGATTTTGTAAGAATTTAATGACTTTTCAGATTTTTTTAAAAGACTTTATACGAATTTAATGGTTAGTAACATTTTTAAAAGAATTTTTTAATCCAGATTTTGTAATATAAATTTTAATTGATTTGTATGTTAAAAATTTATAATATTTGAAAGGATTTTATTATATTTCAAAAGACAATGTGGATTTTTTAAAAAAAATACATTTTTTCTATGTACAAAAATGATAAGGTTTAAATAAAAAAAATAAAATCAATAATTTTTTTTATCTTTTAATAAATAATTGATTATAGTTTCATATCCTCTTAAGTAACAATTCTTTACATACAGCTCTCTATGCGTTTATATTTTTTCTTTCATACTATTGAATTTTAACAATATATTCAAATTTATTATATTCATTAACTAGTAGAATTGTCAAAATATATTTTTAATATATGTTTACAAATTTGATAAATATTTAATTTTTATTGGAAATAAACTTTTGGTAAATTTTAATAATTTTAAAAAATTAATAATATAATATTTAATAATTCAAAAATCATTTTAATATTTAATAATTTAAAAAAAATATTGATAAATTATACATCAATATTGATAAAAAAATAAATAGATAAAATAAAGAGAAGAAGAAGTAGAAAAATAAAATAAAAAATATTGAGAGAGATGAAGAAAAAAGGACAGAAATATGAGATAGACATGAGAAGAGAGAGAAGATGAGATAGGAAAGTGAGAAGAGAATATTAGAGAGAGAGAGAGGAAAAAAAGACCAGAGCAAAAAAGGCAAAGGGAGAAAAAAATTAAACAAGAATGAAAAATAATGTGAAATCTCAATGATCTTGATAAGATTATAAAATGAATCAATTATATGTAAATTTTATTAAAAAATCTCACAAAATATCTATATTTTTTAATATTAGCATATTTTTTTCAAATGAAGAAAAAATCTTAATTGAATATCATATAATTTTTTATATTAAAATTTTTTTAATTGAATATCATAAAAATTTTTATAATAAAAAATTCTTTTCAAATTCTTTGAAATTCCGAGACAATGCACCTTCTAAATTTATATATGCATCCATTACTTGTACTTTATACAAGTGAAAGTCGTGACAAAAAATTATCAAACGTTGATTTAACATTATTTATCATAATTTATTTTGTATCAACTAAAAATCATTGTTGAAAGTTTTATAAATTTTGTTAAAGTTTTCTTATTAATATATAAAAAGATAAATTTATCCAATCTATCTTTTAATATGGTTAATATCAAATAAAATTTATTTATTTATTTATTTTTTATTGATTTCAAGATTATTGATTAAAATTTTATAATTAAGTTTTGTTAATATTAAACTATCAATATATAGAATTCATCCCATTTTTTCATCTCTAATAAATAGTTTTTAAAATATTAAAAATTTATTCATTTAATCTGTGGAGAAAAAAAAAACATTGAAGGAGGGGTTGAATAGTATTTATCAAAAACTCATGCTTTTTTGAACCAAAAAAGTAGTATGAAACGTTGTAGGAGTATAGACGAAGAGTTAATCAAACGAACCTAATATTTTTATATTAGTTCGTCTCAACTACCGAAATCATGTCTAGTTCTTGATCAAACCCGATCAAGTTTCACTATCTTTACAAGGATACAAATATTCTTTCATAAACCACTTTTGACTCAACCTAAATATTTTTTGACTTGCCTTTTCAAGCAACTACCCAAGTATTCATTAACATAAAGCCTCTCCAGACCTCAAACACCTAAATATTCTTTTACAGTCGAGCTTCTTCAGACTCAAAAACACACGAGTATTTTTGAACAAACTAGCCTCTCCAAGCTCAAAGCAATAATACAAAGTTAAAGTTAGGTAAACTAACAATGTTATTTCATCTTACTATCAAGATATGATACAATTAATTAAGTTTAGAGCTTTTTATAGAAAGTAAATATAGTTTTTACTATGTGTGTTCTCTTCCTTTTGGATTTCAAACTTACTTTTATAGGTTTTCAATGAAGATGATTGTTGCATATCCTTGAGTGTTTCTCATAGGCTTACTTTGTATGTCTTCAGTTTTCCTTTCCTTGTGGAGAGAAATGTTTATTGATCCATTAATTAATTGCATTAAATGTGTTTCACCAAATTGTCACTTCTTATTTGATTAAGAAAACTACTTATTATCTTTTAGGTACTGAACAGGTGGAGTCATGTGTGTGTTAGTTCAAAACAACTTTTTTTTTTTTAGGATTTCTATGATTCAAGGGTTTTTTTTTCTTTTTCTAGAGATAAACATGTCCTAATGGCATCCTTACTAGCATTGGTTGAGAGATGATCACTAATGTGAAGGAAGCCTTGACTCCACGGATCAAGTTCTTCAAGATTGACATCTTTGATGGAGGAAAGGATGAAAATGGAGGTTGGATATAAGGTGTTTGATGGAATGCTTGAGAGATACTCTAGGGTTTGGCTCACTCCAAGGTAGATGAAGGCCACTCCTAGGGTTTTTACTCAAGGTGGAGATAGGTAGGGTTCTTGGCCGAAAATGACCAAGAGAGACTAAGGAAAATATAAAGGCACAAAAGGCTCACTCTATATTAATTTCCAAAGTATTTACAAGGAGGCTAGCCTAGGGTATTTATAGAAGGGAGGATGCATTTAGGGTTACATTTGAGAGTGCATGGCCAAGTAATGCAAGCCAAATGCACTTCAAATGAAACCTAAATTAACCCTAGATGCTACTTGGTGGCCAAGGATGGAATCTTTGGGTTTGGTTAAGCTACATCTAGGTGCATGATAAGACCATGCAACCTAGGTGCCCTCCACTTGGGCCTAAGCCTTGCCAAGTCCAAAAATAAATCCAATGCCACCAAGAAACATGTCTAGGCCTAGTTTCCAACCTTAATAAAATACCCTATCTATAAAATAAAATCCTATAATCTAAGACACCCCATAATACAAGGGTAAAATAGGAAATACAAGTAAAAAATAAATCCTATGTCTAAGGTACCCAAAATACAAGGGTAAAATAGAAAATTAATGACAAGGGCAAAAATAG